GGTATTCCTTATGTTGTGTATGTCATCAGGCTGGCTCTGCAGCCTGCCACGTGTGGGTGACCTTGGGCAGGCTGCTTAAGCTTTCTGTCCCTCAGTTTTTCCACCTTTAGAACGGGAAGAGTAATCATACGTGCCGTATTGGGTTGCAAAGATTAAAGGAGTTAACACATTAAGAGTTGAGAATAATGCTGATCTCTGTTAACTACTGCCATTATTCTGTATGCTTTATTGTTTGCAGTGTTGATATTAACAAAGAAACAGGCAGGTTGAGCCAATCCGGAGGCTGTTGAGAGTGGCTGGAGCTGAGCAGTGGCAAGCAGCGTGGTGGCGACAGGGCTATGCCTTCAATTTTCTGTTGTGCTTCGTTCCTTTGGTAAAAGTATCCAGCCCCAGCTCCCGCTGGGTCCTTCCCGTGGTTCATGCCACATGGTGTCTGTGTCCTCAGCACCCAGGACAGCGCCTGCCACGTAGGTCCTTCCTGGTTGAGAGGAGGGATCCGTGCTTTGCTTTCAGGTGTCTTTTTCAGTTTGAAATGGAAACTAACTCACTCTGATGTATGCAGAAAAAAATGGGATGTTTTCATTTGGATGCTGACTTTAGAATTTTCTTCTGAAATCATGTAATTCTCCTTACTGGCTTTTTTTGGGAAGGAGAAGTCATAACAAAGCCTTCAAGGGGCCAAACCCTTTAGAATTCCTTTCTCTGGGTTTCCAATCTTCCTGTGTGGAGTGAGGGGTGAGACTGGGCTCCTGGACCTTTGAAGGAAGGCCAGGTGTGGGCTCATGTTTTTGCTCCTGTAGTGACAGGCCCATGGTTGTCACTTTTATATCCCATGATTCCATTGCTCCTGGCCTTCAGATCGGTTGGGGCTGTTTTGTTCATCTCAGCCTTCTGCCAGCTGCACTTTTCCTAGTTCTAAGTGTGAATTTTTTTTTCTCGAGGAGTCTTCCAAGACTGGGTTTCCTCTGTACCCCTGTGACATGCTTTTGTAGGAATTAGTGTAAAACATTCAAAATGCCAGTTGAAGTTTTGCTTTTATAAGGAAACTGTAAGAGCCTTAATAGTTTGGACTATATTGTGCTTATCTTTGCCTCCCCAGTGCCCTGTCAGAGAGTCAGTATCAAAAAAATGTTAAATTTTGCTGAAAACTCTTAGAGTATAAAAGTAAACATTTGGTAATTAATATATTGTGCTGGAGGCATAGGAATGGGGTACTAAATAGAAACTAAGTGGAAGGCTGGGCGCGGTACCTCATGCCTGTAATCCCAGCACTTTGGGTGGCTGAGGCGGGTGGATCACGAGGACAAGAGATCGAGACCATCCTGGCCAACATGGGGAAACCCCGTCTCTACTAAATATAGAAAAATTAGCTGGGCATGGGGTTGCACACCTGTAGTCCCAGTTTGCTCTGGAGGCTGAGGCAGGAGAATCTCTTGAACCTGGGAGGTGGAGATTGCAGTGAGCCGAGATCACGCCACCGCACTCCAGCCTGGTGACAGAGGGAGACTCTGTCTCAAAAAAAGAAACTGAGTGGTGGGAAACTGAAAAATGACCCAATGTAGTATTTTAATGTTAAAGATGATATTCTCAAACCAGTGGGTAAAAGGAAAGGTTACTTAATAAATGACATTTGACCCATTCTTTCTTTTTTTTTTTTTAAAGTTTCCTAATAAACACTATATCGCAAAATAAAGTAAGTGCCATCTGGACAGAACTTAAGGGTAGAAGCGAGACCTATGCAAGTATGAAACTGCACACAGCGGGATGTGGATGCACTCTCGGAAGCTGTGGGCCTTTCCAAGTGTCGTCCCCAAAGCGGAATCATGAGGAAAGGACAAAAGGGTGGCTCGGCCTCCCAGACCAAGGAGCACAGATTGGCCACTGCCATTCTCTTCCTGTTGCTGCTCTAACAAATCATCACAGACTTACTGGCTTACAGTGAACATGTTATCTTAGAGCTCAGGAGTTTGCAAGTCTGACATGGTTCTCACTGGGCTAAAACCAAGGCATTGGCAGGGCTGTTTCCTTCTGGAAGCTCTAGGGGAGAGCGTTTTCCCTGCTCCGTCTGGTTCCAGGAAGCGCCAGCATTCCTTGGCCTACGGCCGCCTTTCTCCACATTCAGAATCAGTCATGTTGCATGTGTGTGACCTTTCATGGTGCCGGGTCTCTCTGACCACAGCTGGGAATGTTCTCTGCTTTTGAGTACTCATGATTAGGTGGGATCCTCCAGGATAGCCCAGACGGTCTCCCACCTCAAGGTTTGGATTCTTAGTTGCATCTGCAAAGTCCCCCTTGCCATGTAAGGTGACACAGTCACAGGTTCTGGGCGTTAGGATGTGGACGTCTTGGGTGGGGGCCGTTATTCTGAACTCACCGCTAGAACGACTAAGAAGGAATCCTCTGTGTAGAAGGTTTTCACAAATCAGTAAGAAAGTGGTGAGCACCTCATTAGAAAATGGACAAATGGTACGAACAGACAATTTACAAAAAGAAGAGGTACAAATGAACAAAATTACAAACAATGTTTTACCTCACTAATGAATGAAAAGGCACGCAGCCAGCATGGAGACCGCTGTTCTCCTGTTAAGTGAGCAGTGGTTTGTGGTGTCCTGTGCTGCTGGTGGGATATGAACTACTGCTCTTTGGCAGGTGGACCAGTGGCCTTTTCAATGTGTGTTTTATGTCTCAGGCTTTCCATTTCTAGGAGTTTATCCTCAAGAGGTCATCGTAGTTGTGTGCAAATATTTGTCTACCAAGATAATTTAATACTTTTTTGTCATCACTATTTGATTTTACTTCTTAGAGACAGAGTCTCACTCTGTAACCCAGATTGGAGTGCAGTGATGCAGTCTTGACTCACTGCAACCTCTGCTTCCCAGGCTCAAGCAATCCTCCCGCCACTTTTTTGTAATTACTTATTTTAATTTTTTGGGGCAGGGTCTCACTCTCTAAGCCAGGTTGGAGATCAGTGGTGCAGTCTTAGCTCACTGCAATCTCAGCCTCCCAAGTTGCTGGGACTGCAGGCATATGCTACCATGCTCAGCCATTTTTTTTTTTTTTTTTTTTTTGGTATTTTTGGTACAGACAGGATTTTGCTATGTTGCCCAGGCTGGTCCTGAACTCCTGAACTCAAGCGATCTGCCCATCTTGGCTTCCCAAAGTGCTGGGGTCACAGGCATGAGCCACCGCACCCGGCCTGTAATGACAATTTTAAATAAGTTAAATGTCTCACAGTCAACTTCAGTTAAACACGTTATGCTGTAGCCCTCAGGGGTGGAATGAAATGAGAGGTGTACTGTGAGGGAGATGGCACAGGCCAGCATGAGCTCACTGGCACTCACTCTGTTATGGAGCTTAACAACTTTGTTAAACTTTGAAATCATTGCAATTTACAAGGAGTTACAGGGAGCTGTCTTGGGAGATCTGTGTGCCCTTCCCTCATTGTTACACTTTTAGACTTAAGTATGTTGCTCATATTCTTTTTATGTATCAAACAACACGTATAAAGTCAAATTATTTAAGTAAATTGAAGAAGATAGTAATGATATGGGGAAATAGTAATGATCTGTTACCAAGTAAAGAAGGTAACACTTCATTCTGTTCAAAAAATTAAAACTTGGCTGGGCGCAGTGGCTCATGCCTGTAATCCCAGCACTTTGCGGGGCTGAGGTGGGTGGATCATCTGAGATCAGGAGTTTGAGACCAGCCTGGCCAACATGGTGGAACCCTGTCTCTACTAAAAATACAAACAAACAAACAAAAATTAGCTGGGCGTGGTGGCGGGTACCTGTAATCCCAGCTACTTGGGAGGCTGAGGCAGGAGAATCATTTCTTGAACCCAGGAGGCAGAAGTTGCAGTGAGCTGAGATCGCGCCACTGTACCCCAGCCTGGGCGACAAGAGCAAAACTGTCTCAAAAAAAAAAAAGAAAAAAAAAATTAAAACATTTGTGTCTATGTTTAAACACCCCTTTATCCATGTTTATTTTCACACACACACCCCCGAACCTTCAAGGTACCACATCAGAATGTCACCGTGGTTCTCTTTCCCACGTGACCTGTATCACTTAGGATACCTAGCAGTATTGCGTTCAGCAAACAGAGACTCGTTTATTTCATGTGTCTGGAAGTCTGTGGTAAGCAGCGCAGGGCTGGGCGGCAGCTCAAAGCCATCACAGCCCCATGCTCTCTCCCGCCTGTCTGCCCTGCTGCCCTTCACGGTGGTGTTTTCACTCGTGCACGTTGGCTGAGGTTTCAGGCCTCACCTCTGTGTTCCAGGCCCGAAGAAGGGATAGAAGCTAGCGGGCAAAGGTGTGCTAGCTACAACTTTTTTTTTCTTTTTTTTTAAGAAAAGTAATAACCCCATTTATTTCTCACTGGCTGTAAGCAATAAATGTGTGTCACAGGGCCAGCGGTGGCTGAAGTCAGCCAAGGCGCAAAGGCTTCTGGGTAGAGGTTGATCCGCCAGCCAGTACCCCAGTGTCTGCCACGCGGGGTATGTTTCCATGTTTTCCAAATTTGCTCTGATGAATGTAAGACTTTTATAATAAAACCATTAAATCTTTGAAAAAAATATTTGTCTTTCTCAGTTTTGCATTCAGTCTTGAGACGAAGTGGTGGCCGGTGCCACTTCCCAGGTGGGCGTTTCTCCGTGAGGGTGTAGTCTGAGGGCAGAGGCTGCAGTCTCTTCCTCGCTCTCCCAGACACCCCCGTCACCGTGGGGTTACCCGAGGGCCTGTGGTGGTGCTGGTCGGACTGAGGCCCATTCTCAGGGAGGGCTGAATGGCCTGTGTGTGTGGGCTGTGGGCTGGTATGGTGCTATTGATCCCTTCTCACCTGGGCCCTCGGGACCCCGGAAGGCTGCGGGCGGCCTGTGGCAGCTGATGGGGGCTGCGTCCTTCGGCCCTGTGGGTTCCAAGGAGCCCATCTTTCGGGTGAGCTGCTGGTAGGCTCTTGGGAAGGCAGGAGAGAGGCTCACTGTTTTCCCTTTCTTTTCCGTCAGCATCCAGCATGTGTATGGCGCCCAGCACCCCCCCTTTGATCCACTGTTACATGGCACGTAAGTGACGTCCTAACCTCACTTGGCTTCTCGGCTGTGGCAAACCCTGTCTTCCTGCTTCCCCCTGCTCCCAGGCATTCCTGAGGGAGGAGAGTGGCTTCTTATTCAGCCGCGCTGACCAAGCAGTTGCTTTGTGGGAGACACTGCGCACCCCGTGCTCCTCATTCCGGTGAAGACGGTGGATATGGGGGCCACAGCCTGATGTGGGGAGGTAGCAGAGCCCTGGGGAGAGCCAGGAGCTGGCATCCATTAGCCACGGGCAGCCTGGCTCCAGGCCATCCATGCTGGCTTGTCCTTCCCCTCCTCCTTCTTGCATTCTCCACTTGTTGCTGGGGCCCGGCCCTGGCCTGTCCTGGCCCCTCCACAGCAGGCGGGAGCGCAGGGCGTGGGACTTGTGCTGGCTGGTGTGGCCCTGCAGGACTGCGCCTGTCTGAGAGGTGTCTGACTTGAGGTTGGGCTGATGCTCTGTGTTGTCATATTTTGGGGGAATCTCACTTAAGTGATCGTGTCTTCAAATCCGTACAGCACAGGCCTGTTCCCTGCACAGGAGCTCCCGGCCCACACTCCCACTGCCGGGTGGGAATCTTATTGGGTCTCCGGGAAGGCCACAGGCACTGGCCAAGGGCAGCTGGGGCGGGGTCTGCAGGCTGTCACTGTGCGGCCCTGCACCTCCTCACAGGTGGCCTTCCCGGAGCTCTTTCCCCTCTCCCGCCACTGTCCCCATGGCTTCGGCTGCTCTTATTTTGGCTGTCTGTGTGAATCGCCTTTGCTTTTTCACTCACTATTGCCAGATCGAAGCTGAAAACTTCTGTGTATGCCTTTTTTCCTGGGGACTCTTTTCTGGCTGGTTTTGGGTGAAGCCTTTGAGCCTGTGTGAGTCAAGACTGCCTTTGCATTGCAGTTTGCTCAAGTCCACGGCCAAGACGCCAACCACACCAGTGAAGGCCAAGAGGGTCAGCACCTTCCAGGAGTTCGAGAGCAATACCAGCGATGCCTGGGATGCGGGGGAGGATGACGATGAGCTCCTGGCCATGGCGGCGGAGAGCCTGAACACCGAGGTGGTCATGGAGACGGCCCACCGCGTCCTGCGCAACCACAGCCAGCGGCAGGGGCGGCCCACGCTGCAGGAGGCGCCGGGGCTGCAGCAGAAGCCCAGGCCTGAGGCGGAGTCCCCCTCGCCCCCCAGCGGTGACCTCCGGCTGGTGAAGTCCGTCAGTGAGAGCCACACGTCCTGTCCTGCAGGTATGACGGGGGGACTGGAGAGACGGTCTGTCTGGGCTTCTGGCCGAGCCAAGAAAGAGGCCAGTCCGCTCACTGTGGGAGAGTCAGTGGGCTCCTGTCCTCATTTGCAGCAGGCCTTCTGGCCATGAAAGCCCTTGCAGTTCTCTTCCAGGGGCAGGGGAGCGGTCTGTGCTGTTCCCTCGGGCCCCATGTGCTTTCTGGTGTCCTAGCCGAGTGGAGTGGCTGGGCACCAGGCTGTTGTGGGCTGGCCGTGAGAGGGCCACAGGCAGGCAGGCGCTTGGGGGACACTGTCTCCCTCCTGACTCCACCATCTTGTGCTGGCTCCATGGGCGGTGACGTCAGCTGAGGGGTCAGGCCGGCTGCACGTTCAGGGGCTGGCCCTCTAGGCTGCTTACAGGGTTCCTGCCAGGGGTGCCTCCAGGTGAGCTCAGGTCCGTCGGGGCTGGGCGTCTGACTTTTGGGCCAGCTCCATTTGCATTTTGCCCCCCTTGGGTGGGGTCGTGTCCGGGGCCGTGTGCGTGGCGCTGGTGTGCAGCAGCTGCTTTTGAGGCTGTTTCTGTGGCTGACACTCTTCATGTATCACAGGTCATCACGTCTGTGACGGAAAAGCTGCACGGTCGTGTGATGAACCCGCTGGGTTGGGCACTGTTTTCAGGGCTTGGCATACCCCAGTGGACAGACTGAGGTACCTCTGTGCCCTGTGGAAAGTCCGTTCTGGCGAGGGGGATGGATGCAGCACTGCCCACCTCCAGCACGGGGGCACAGAGCGTGCGCGGAGGCAGCGAGTGCCACGGTCAGGAGAGGCGGACAGCGGGCTGGGAGCGCGGGAACCATGAGAGCAGCGGGGAGCACGTGTCCTTGTGCGAGCAGGGTTGTTGGGAGGCTGGGGGCTAGGGGCAAAGGTGAGCTAGGGCGGCCACAGGCCCTCAAAGGTACCTCCCTCCAAGGTCTTCTCTCCCCACATTTCCAGCTGAGAAGACGGAGATTGTTGCGTAGCCCGAGGTTATGCTGCAGAACTAGGTTTCAGACCTAGGTCTAGTTTTCCAAACCACTCTCTAGGAATTGGTTAACTTCTGAAATATTACAGCTCTCATTAGGTGAAAATGCTGTGCGTGATTTGATTTGATCAGTTTTCTTTTTGGAGTCGAACACATTTTAAAGTCTTTGAACTCGTAAGCGGAAATCTGGTTACGGCCTTTGCGGGAGAGTTGGAACCCTGCTGACTGACTGAAGCGTGCCCTGCCCACCTCCTGCAGCGCAGTCCTGGGCTCAGCTGGGGTGGAGTTGGTGTTGGCAAGATCGCTGGCCTCATCTGCTCGTAGGTGGTGCTGACGTTGAAGCTCTGTGAGCCTCTCAGCACTCTGCCCCCTACCCCCAAGATGCAGGGTGCGGTCGGTCTGAGAGTGGCCAGGACCGCAGGACCACACGGTGTGTGGCTGGGGGATCTGACCAGAGGCAGGCTCAGGCTGCGACCAGCCGGGTCAGGGGAGCCGTGGGATGTCACCCTGGGATGGCCTCATCCTGGAAGAACCAAGTGCAGGATGCTCCAGGCAGGTAGTGCTGGGAGAAGGGGCCTGTGCCCCCATTGCCCTGTGCCCCCGCTGCCTGCATTGGAGTTGGCCACATTTCCTGTGTTTACTTTCTGGGCAAGCGTTTTTTGGGCGCTTCAGTTTTATCGATCATTTACTGTGTGGCAAGCACTATCGCGAGCCCTTGTGCTGATAAACTCATTCAGCTTTGCAGTAGCACTAGGACCTAGGCTTGTGGACCCTGCTCAGGAGTGAGTGGTCCCTTCAGGGTCTTGATGCAGTCACATCAGTCATCTCTAAAGATCGCAGGGAAGTCCAGCTCTGGGACACAGTGCGCAGCTGTTCCTCCTGCCGAATATTGGTTCTGGGGAACTGTAAGTGCTGCTGAAGCAGGAGCCTCTGGAGGAGGCAGAGCGGCACTGTCACCCACGTCCTCCCCTCTGCTCAGGCTGAAGCAGGAGCCTCTGGAGAAGGCAGAGGGGCACTGTCACCCACGTGCTCCCCTCTGCTCAGGGGCTGGTTCTCAGCCCTCCTTGCAGTAAGGCCGGCAGCGGGAACTCCAGAGCCAGATGCCCCGGGCTGGAGCCCCAGCCAGCCCTCGGTGTACAGCTACTGCCAAGCAGGAATCCCAGCAGGTGCTGAGGCGGGTTGGGGGGAGTGAGGGAAAGTGGGCAGCGAGCATGGGGGGAGGAGACAGGGTGGTACTCTGAAGTCTATGCCCCCACTTCAGCAGACTTTTGGACATTTAACTGGGCCCCATTCTGCCCAGACGCCATAGGTTGCCTGGCTCCTGGATGGCCTGAGGGTTTCTGTGTGAATTCTTCTCCCCATCCCCAGGTTATGAAGGAAATCGGGAGCTGTGTGGGAAGGAGGGCACAGGGCAGTGTGGCCCTTACCTCCTCACTCCAGCGGCTGCTGGAGCGGATGTCAGCCCGTCAGCTGCAGCACGTGCTCTGGCTTCATTTCCTGGAGTTTATTTTTCACTCCACTTTAATTTTCAGTTTTTGAAAGATGCAATAGCTGGACAGGATTTAGGCCTAGGAGTTTGGAGCCTTTCCCACGGGTGGCCGTGTTGAGTGACCTGAGGGCCTTAGGGTCTTCCCTGGGGCTGACCTGGTCCGGGGTTACTGGGTGTAACTGCCTGTCTCACATCTTGCTTGGGTCTCCATGGGCCTGTGCATCTTGGGCTGGCACAGGAGGCGGGAGGGAGGTTGGGCAGCTTGCACCCTAATGCCACCTCAGTCACTGCCTGTGGTTGCGTCTGGGAAGGTGCCACCCCTCACAGGTCTCGCTTTCTTTGTTTCTTTGGGATGAGGACCTCTGTGTGATCTTCCTCCCAGTGCAGTGGTGAGAGCCAGAGAGTGCCAGGCAGGTGGCGGGGTCGGGCATGCCCTTGAGACATCAGGTGAGTGCCCTGGTCAGTCCCCACCGTTGCCTCCTGTCCTCAGCGTGTCTGCAGGCTTGCTTCTTTCCCTCACAGTAACTTGCGGGGCTGCCCTCTGCGCTCAGGCCTGGCTACCCCAAGACCACCCTCCTGTACAGACCCTCTGGGTCATGTCACCTAGGCAGCCCCTGATCCGCCATCCTAGGCACTGGTGGGACCCTGACTACCAACACAGCCCAAGGGGTCCTGGCGTTTTTGGGCTGTCATTGTGTTGCTTTTATGTGAGGTGTGTCCATTTCATTGATGAATAATACTCTGCCAGTGAGGTGAGTGAATTTCAGAGGTGTCGCTTCCATGTTATTGCTCAAGAAACCGAAGTCCCCACTGCCCAGTGGTGGGAAGAGGGGACTGTTGTAACCCCACAGCATTCACAAAGGGACAGTGACACAGCAAGGAAGAACGTGGGGTTGGGAGGAGTGCCCTCACCCTCACCCCCTCTCTCACCCCTGCAGAAAGTGCCAGCGATGCCACTCCTCTCCAGCGGTCCCAGTCTCTCCCACACTCGGCCACTGTCATGCTGGGTGGGACATCTGACCCCAGCACCCTCAGCAGCTCAGCGCTGAGCGAAAGAGAGGCCTCCCGGCTCGACAAGTTCAAGCAGCTGCTTGCGGGACCCAACACAGACCTTGGTAAGCGCCCTGCCCGCTGGAGGACACGTGCAGACATTTCTGGCTGTTTCTGAAATAGATCACATCTGAAAGGATTCTGTGTATGCTTCTGTATCGCACATGCTTCCATGTGCCATTTGCCTTGGAAGAAGGTGACGCGTTTGTGTAATGTTTTCATGCCAGTAAGTCACTAAGGTAGTAGCAATTTGTGCTGATCGTTTTTTTGGAGACATGTTTTGTTAATGTTTTTCCAATGCAATTTGAAAATGTATTTTCCGTTCCTTCTTATTTTTATTTTTTTAATTGAGACTGGTTTTTACTCTGTCTCCCAGGCTGGAGTGCAGTGGTGCGATCATAACTCGCTGCAACCCGGCACTCCTGGGCTCAAGCAGTCCTCTTGCCCCTGCCTCCCAAGTAGCTGGGACTACAGGCTTGTGCCACCACACTCACAAAGCTTATTAACCAAATTTTTCTAGAGATAAGGGTCTCCCTGTGTTGCCCAGGCTGGTCTTGAACTCCTGGGGTTAAGAGACCCTCCTGCCTCAGCCTCACAAAGCACTGACTGGCTTACAGGTGTGAGCCACGATGCCCGGCCCGTTCTGTTTTCTTATTGTCGCAGTTGCGCTCTTCATTATTGTGACCACTGGTGAGCCCTCCAAGGCTGGCCAGGTGGACATCCAGGATACCATCCTGTCATGGTATTCTGAGACAGCGGCTCATGGGGACACAGTGCTGGCGACCATCAACTGGACCTGCTGATTTTGCACTTTCCTGCCCTGGGGCTGGTGGTCACCAGAGGGTGACAGGCTGTGAGCCATGCAAGGGGGCAAGGGTGAGGCTGGAGCAGAGGGGCAGGCCTTCAGGGCAAGCGCAGTCAGCAGCCTGACCCTTCCTGCGGGATCTGCTTCCAGGCACACACAGTGCCACGTGGACTGCCACGGCCAGGCTCTGTGGAACACACCCACTTTGAGTTCCTCCGGTGGAATTCCTACTGAATCCACGTTCTTCCTTTACGAATCTCATCTTTGTGGAGTGCCACTCTGGCAAGGCATGTGCTAGACACTGGAGCTCTCGGGGGGACCGGAATGTGGCCTTGGTCATGGGATTGCTTCATCGGGGGGACACACCTGTATCAGACAGTTGTGGCTGGTGCCACCTCGGCACTGAGAGCCGGAGGTGCAACGCCTGGCTCGGCCAGGAGGTGGCGAGTGGGGCGCGCGGATGGGCCAGCGGGAGCCGCACCTTCAGGCCCAGAGGCCCAGGGCAGGGAGAGGGTTTCTGGCAGAAGCGGTGGTTCACAGGGCACAGCTGAGGCTGCGTTCCCGAGGCTGCGGAGGGCGGCTCCTGGAAGGTCTCCTGGCTAGAAGGACACAGCTCTGAGTGAGTTCTCAAGGTGGGTTGTTGTTTCTCCCTTAGGTTTATTTTTTACGACAGTAACGCTTGCATATGCTGTAACAGTACACAGGGCACACCGCACAGCAGGTATGTGTGGAAGGAGTCCTGTCCCAGCCTCCACTTTCCCTTCCTTTCCACAATTCCAGGTGTCTCCTTCCAGCGATGGCCCATGCACATGTTGTTTTAAATGTTTTATGTTGATGTGATTCAAACTTGCAGAACATTTGGCAAGAACAGTGCAAACAACTCCCATATGCTCTGTACGCAGAATCACCAGTTGTTTACGTTTGCGCATTACCATTCTGCATGTGTGTGCCTGTTTGTGTGTCTGTGTGTATGCTCCCGAACCATTTGAGAGTCGGTTGGAGATAGATCCCTTTACCTGTAAAACCTTCACTGGAGATTTCCTAAGCACGAAGACATTCCGTCAAGGTAGTCACAGCACAGGTGTCAGAATCAGGACGTCTCACATTGGCACAGTCCTGTTTCAACACGTTTATTACCATAATCCACAGTCCACGCTCACATTCTGCCGGTGGTCGCGGTGATGTCCTTTCTCTCTTTTTTCTTAGCCCAGACTCCAGTGGGGACCGTGAGCTCCATTCAGGTGTCGTGCCTCTGTCTTCTCCATCCACCTGGAACGGCAGCTTTGCCTGACTCTGTTTCCATCTTGACACTGGAGCAGAGCACAGGCCAGTTATTCTGTGGGATGTCCCTTGGGTTGTTTGGGTCTGATGCTTCCCCACGATGAGATTCTGGTTGATAATTTTTGGTAGGAACATCACTGACGGGATTCGTGTTCTTCTGGGTCAGCACGGTGGGGTGCGTGGTGCTGCTGGACCCTAACAGTGGTGATATGGACTCCGCCTGTCCTTCCCGCTGAGCGCTCCCTCTCTCCTCCGGTGACGGGGTGCTCTGTGAGAGGTGCCCTGGGGCCTGTGCGTCTCTGCAGTGTGCTCCCTCTCTCCTCCGGTGACGGGGTGCTCTGTGAGAGGTGCCCTGGGGCCTGTGCGTCTCTGCAGTGTTCTCCCTCTCTCCTCTGGTGACGGGGTGCTCTGTGAGAGGTGCCCCGGGGCCTGTGCGTCTCTGCAGCGTATTCCCTTCCCCACTGTACAGGAAGGCGGTTGTGCGCTGCACTTTTTAAAGGGATGATGTATGTTCCGATGGTGTCCGTGGAGAACCGCTTCAGTCTTTAGAGTGCCCTGTAGCACGCCATCCTGTGGGTGTCCTGCACTCGACTGCACCAGCCCCTGTGGATGGGCAGGCAGGTTCTTCCTAATTTACTATTATTACAAACAACTTGAGGACTTTTCTTCAGGCATCTGAGCTTTCTGCTGTGATGATGAGATTCACAGAGCCTGCCTAGGCCTGGGTGGGGTGAGGAGACAGCGTGGGGATGGCTCTGTGATTTTGGCTAGAGCACCGGGTAGGTGGAAGCACCAGCCACCGAGGTAGGGCATAAAGGTAGCTCGTGCCTACAGGAGTCTAGTCCTGTGCTTGAGGTACCCATCTTGGCCACCTCCTCTTCCAGCCTGCCACTGTCCCTTCTCAGCTGGCTGTCATGCCTCCAAGGTGGTGTGGGGATACAGAACCACATTGCGCCTAGGAGGGTAGGTCCTGGAGCCGGGCTGCCAGCATGGAGAGCTGCCTGGTGACCTTGAGCCAGCTGGTGATGGTCCTGTGCCTCAGAGTTCCTGTTTGTGTGGTAGGCATGATGAAAGCAGTGCTCCCTTTGCAGATTAAATGAGATAGTACGTATAACACGCTTCAGAGAGTGCCTGGCACGTACTAAACACTCAAAAATGTTCATTATTTTCATGGCTGTTCTTGTGCTCACTTGAATTGGCCTTTTTATCCCCTCAGTCGATTTTTGCGCTATTGATGTATATGGTCACTTTTGTGGTCAGGGACGAGTCAAGTGACTTACAGATGTTTTCCTGCTTCTGTCCCATGGTTGCAGCCGTAGGCAGGTGGCAGGGAGACAGCTGGTGAAAGCAAGATTTGCCTAATGGGAACCCTGGGCTGGGTCAGTGGAACCCACCTGGAATCTTCTGGTGGACTTTGTAATTGAAGCAACTTTTGGAAATTAAAATCATACTTACAAGTAAAGGTTTCAAGACTTGTGGGAAGAGGTGAGTATGTAGGGCTAGATTTTAATGTCAAAATCAAGTTATTTTGTTAGGTTGAGGGGACTGTGGGTTTTTTTCTTTCTTTATAATTCTATGTAAATATCAAATTTAAACCCCAAAACGCTAAAAGCAGAGCTTTCAAAGTTAAGCAATTACTGCGTTTGTATTTAGTGCCAAGAGAAAACATAGCCAGTAAATTGCCTGTTTTTATAAGGTATTTAAGATAGCTTTGGAAGACAGTGGAATGCGCTATCTTCACATTACATGAAAGACGTAAGTGGCAAATATTTGCCCATGTTGGAGAAGCAGATCACCGATGTGAGAAGCGCCTGCAGAAGTGAGCCTGTCTGCCGCATATCATTCTGTCCAGCGGAGTGCTGTTTTTCTTTGTTTAGCTTATGCTCTGTTATGAGCTTGGGGATGAAAGTAGCAAATAGAACTTAACAGCTCATTTTACTCTTAGCATTGGCTCAATATTTACTCAGAGAAAGACTGCCTGCTTCGAAGCCCTGGAAAATGACACTCATGCTGGTCACGTGTGTCTGGTGAATGGCAGTGCGATTTGGTGGCATGCATAGCATGCAGTTTCCCGAGGACCATCTGGGGCCCGCCTCGCAGCAGTGGGGCCTCGGAGGGCAGACCGTGTGTGCAGCTCGGCTCTGGCCCTCAGGGCTTTCAGACGGTAGGACACGAGGCACTGCTTCCCTTCCTTCAAGGAGTGGGGCCAGGCCATGGTCAAGCTCCTCCTCCCCCGAGTGCTGGGCAGCCAGTCTGGGCTTTATGAGAGCATGCTGATAGAGGGAGGTCGGGGAGAGGGTGTTTTGGGGCTGGGGGGCATGAACAAAAGTTTGGAGGTGTGGGCCTCTGCAGCACGGATATGATGAGTAGGTGTCCCCTTGGTGTCTGTGGCTGGAGGGCAGCCTGAAGGGGCCTGGGCCCTTGGTGACAGGACGCAGCAGGTGCAGCCTTGGAGTTGGTCCTCAGTGTGATGGCTGGCCGTGTCCCTACTCATGAAGTGGCTCAACCTCCCTGCCTCGTCAGCCGTAGAGGGGGCATGAAACCTGCCCTCAGGGTCCTTGCGAAGGTTGGAAGAAATGTGAGTAAAGAGCCACTCATTCATTCAGTGTCTGTTGAGCACCTGCTGTGGTCATGGGCACTGGGAGAAACAGGCAGTCAGGCTCGCAAGGGCTCTGCCCTCCAGGAGCTGACATTCTCGTATGAGGAAACAGACGGGGCTGACTTGGTACCCTGGCAACCATCAGAAGGCAGGAAGTGTCTGGGGGGAGTGAAACCGTGTGGAGGGGTAGAGGCTGGAGCTGCTTTGCAGTTAGCTGTTTCTGGGGTGAGATCCGGATGGTGGCAGGCATTTGAAGAGGGGGGCACGAGCATTCTAGGGAGAGGCCCAGAGGTGCAAATGTTGTGCGGGCGGTAGAGCTTCCTGTGCTTGAGGAATGGCTGAGGCTCCGGCCTGGCGGCTGAGTGGGGCGGGGGGAGAGGCCCGTAAGGCAGCCAGGGACCTGGTACCCAGGGCTGACAAGTCCAGGAGAAGAAGCTCTGCTTTTACTTCGAGGACAGCATGAAGCCTCTGGGAGGTTTTGAGCCGGGGAGTAAAGCGTGGTGCAGAGCGTGGGAAAGCGGTTGCTGTTCTGTGGAAGGAAGAGCTGATGCCTGCTTCTGAGCAGAGCGTTGCCGTGGCCATGGGCTGGGTGGAGTCCTTGGGCAGCTCTTGGGAGGGGTGGGGGAGGGTCAGAGTAGGGTGGGAGACTAGGGGGCAGAAACAGAGGACCGGAGCTGGGGATGCGGGGTGGCGTGGGCTGGGCGAGTCGGGGGCTGATTGGACCTGGAGCTGGGTACACTGGCGAAGATGAGAGCTAGGACCCCCATAACTTAGAGCCTGGGGTCTGCAGGAATAGACACAGAAACCAGAACACACTCAAGACGTGGCATTTCACTGGGGAGACAAAATCACGTCCTCATGAAACAGAGAGCCAGGGACAGCAGTGTATTTAAACAGCTGCACAGTTACTGCCATTTGGGGGCCTTTACTCTGTGCTGGGCACTGTGCTGTAGAGACTCTGTTATCCTCATCAAAAGACCCCCCACTGCACCCCCGCCCCCTCCCGGTGTGCCCCAGGTTGCTGGCCTTATCGCTGGTTTACAGCTGAGGAACCTGGGTCGAGGTTTGGCAGGCGGCCACCCTCCAGCCCCCCAGTGAGGGCAGAGCTGGCTGGGAACCGGGGTCACTCCGAGCTGGGCTCCCAGCCTCCGGTGGTTAGTGTAGACAGTGGGCGTTCTGGGTGCTCTTGGAGGCTGGAGGAAGGGGGCTGTTTTCTCTCCTGTGGGCCTCATCAGAGACCCTGGCTTCTGGTGTGGGAGCTGGGATCAGGCACCCAGGAGCTGGGGCCAGGAGGGCACTTGGTTCTCTCTGCCCGGCCATCGGTGTCCAGCATCGCCCTCTAGTGGCCAGGCCCTGGCCTTGCAGCCTGTGTTTCCTTAGCACAGCAGGCACGTTGGCCTTACGGGTGGGGGGTGCTTACATTGGCATGTGCCTGCGTGTGTTCAGTGTGTTCACTGAAAGGCAAGCACAGCCTCAGAAGAGAGTGATAACGTGAGGGACGAAGATGAAAGCTGTGGCCAACTCGGCCTTGCCCTGGAGTTTCATCAGGGAAGGGCCTTCTCAAGAAAGGCAGCCCCCTAGCCACTTAGAACTGCCAAGTGCAGAGGCCTGGGGTGGAGGGAACAAATGCCCGCTGGTACACCCATTCTGTGTGTGCAGGGCCCAGCCACACCCAGATCCTTGCTGGCCCTGCTCTGTCCCCAAGTCCCTCGTAGTGAGTGTCATGTAGTAGACACTCGTCATTTGATGGGGCTCACTGACTCCTCAGCTAGACTTTTCTCTTCTTCCTTTGGGGCATACATGTTCCTCTCTGTCTGGTTTTACTTTGTTTCTTAGGTAAATTTACTAGGGAAGTCATTGTCTCTGCCATCCAGTGGCAGCTCAGCCTGATCCCTCCTTGAGCCAAGGGTGAGCTTTGCCAACCGTGTGGCTCTGCGTTTGCGTTTTCCCCGCAGCGGCTCCCCGTGTCGCTGTTGCTCTGCCTTCCCTCACAGCAGTGTCTTCATCGGAGAATGGGGTAATGACAGAGCTCCAAAGTGCTTGGGAGGCATGGAGCCCCTCCCGGCTGCTGTGTCCTTACCATCTTTTTCCTACGTGTCCCCCCCCCCCCCCGCCAGGTTTTCCACGGAGGCCATGAAGCTACAGACGGCATGTGTTGTCCTTTCCTTCCAGTTAATATTAGATTATCAGCCTTTCCCATGCTGCCGTCATCTTCATAGCCATCATTTTTAATGGCTGTATAGTGTTTTGAAAATGATCTTTACTTAAAATTCTTATTAAAATGGTATATCTAAGTCAAAATTTCATTTATATGCTTAATCAAGATTGAGACTTGTTTGAGACTATTTAAAATGTGTCACATCAGCTCCTGTAAACAGAAGTGATGTTCCTGGGTGTTCTGGAGGCAAGGGGCGGGGGAAGCAGGGTGGGGGGTGCTCAAGGGCTCACCACGTGCAGTGTAGGAACCGGTAACATGGATTTCTACTCGATTTACCCCGTTTCTAGTTGGAAACACTACATTATACAAAGTTAAAACATTTACAGTAGGTCCTCAGGGCCTGCAGGCTGACAAATAATCTCCTTTGCTCCCTGAGCAACTCTTCCATTTCTGTCTCTTTTCAGAAGTGTTGCACGCATATTCCAGTAGATTTATATAGACACGTGTTAATAGATTTCTCACTCCACCTCATTCCTTTTTTTTGAGACAGAGTTTTGCTCTTGTCGCCCAGGCTGGAGTACAGTGGCACGATCTCACTCAGCTCACCGCAACCTCCGCCTCCTGGGTTCAAGCAATTCTCCTGCCTCAGCCTCCCAAGCAGCTGGCATTACAGGAACATGCCACCACACTCAGCTAATTTTGTATTTTTAGTAGAGACGGGGTTTCTTCATGTTGGACAGGCTGGTCTCGAACCCCTGACTCAGGTAATCCACCCACCTCGGCCTCCCAAAATGCTGGGATTACAGGTGTGAGCCACCACGCTTGTCCAACCCCATTCTTTTAAAAATACAAATGAAAGCATATTAGTGTTGTGTGCCCCTTTTCTCATCCCCCCCAATGTATATATATGTGTATATATGAGCATGAAAACAAGTGAGATTTAGTATATATGCATATCATATTTTATTACTAGTGTGAAAGTGGCATAAAGTCATCAAATTTTTTAGTAAAATATTCTGTTTGAAAAACCTGAGGTGCAGTTCAAATAACGTACAATAAGCTGTTGAGCGGCAAGCGGTTCAGCAGCATCTGGTGCCTCCACACTGCTGCGCAACCCCCGCCTCAGGCGTTCCTCATGCTAAAGAATAGGCAGATACTCATCTCTGGGAGGCGTTTGTTAAAAAACAATAATTACTGCCGGGCGCGGTGGCTCACGCCTGTAATCCAAGCGCTTTGGGGGGCCGAGGCGGGGATCACGAGGTCAAGAGATCGAGACCATCCTGGTCAACATGGTGAAACCCCGTCTCTACTAAAAATACAAAAAATTAGCTGGGCATGGTGGCGCGTGCCTGTAATCCCAGCTACTCAGGAGGCTGAGGCAGGAGAATTGCCTGAACCCAGGAGGCGGAGGTTGCGGTGAGTCGAGATCGTGCTGTTGCACTCCAGCCTGGGTAACAAGAGTGCAACTCCGTCTCAGAAAAAAAAAAAAAAAAAAAAAATCAAAAAACAATAATTATATAATTGGAGGATTTTTGTTCTTATAATCACGTGAGGAGATAAGTCTGCTTTTGACCCTGCTGGACACTCCGTGGTGATACACTCTTCCATCAAGGACTCAGATCCTCCTGGGAGATGGTAGACATCAGATCATTCCTTTTGTCCTCATGTGAGTGCTGTGGGTGGCTGAATGGCTGAGAAGCTGAACCCTCACATGCAGGATGATGGCAGAGGCGGGGCTTGCTCTGGGGAGCATGACTGGCACAGGTCAGGCTGTGTGTCAGGAGTCCATCACTTGGCTGTCATGTAGGACAGGCTGATTACCAAGTTGCCTGGGTGCAGGGCAGCAGACTGGCCTTAGGTTCCTGTGGGCAGGGGCCAGTGGGTGTCGGGTAACTGATGAGCTTGTTTTGCCAGGTGCAGGCACTGGAGGTGTTGGGCCACGTGGAAAGGCTTTGGTACTTCGCTGCATGTCAGTGGCCTGGTCAGGAAGGCCCATTGGATGGAGTGGTGAGGAGCTGTCAGGGACAGATTCTGGGGTGGGGTGGAGCCAGCAAGGAGACATAGGTGACAAGGAAGCAGGTTCCCATCTCTTCATTCATCCGTCAGACATGAGTAGGTGCCTGCCGTGCCAGGGCCTCGACGTGCCAGACGGTGATGAGCCCTTGAGTTCTGTGGGCTCCTGAGGGCTGGCCTTTGTGGTACATCTTGTCTCATGGGTGTGATTTCCATAGCGGGAGATGGGGCAAGACTCTCCCAGGGAGGGAGTCACTTAAGCGGACAGTTGAGGGGAGGAGGTAGAGAGGGCAGAGTCCGAGTGGCGGGGGCGGCAGCAGCAGCAGTCACAATGGCGTGTCGAGTTGTGTGCTGAGCACGTTGTGTGCAGTGCCCCTGCGATTCTGGGAGGGAACAGAAGCTCAGTGCCTGGCTCAGGGTCTCCCGGCCGGTGGAACCAGCATTCCAGTCCAGCTGTGTCCGAGAGAGCCAGCGTCCAGGCTGCTGCCCTGCAGGACTGATAGTGTGAGAAGAAGGCAGTGGTAGGAAAAGCCAAAAATACAGCTGGGGTCAGTTCTTGGAAGGTCTGGCCCGCCAGGTGGAGGCGTCTGATTTGAGGCAGCGATGGTGCCGTGAGAAAGCCACTGGGGATGGAGAGGAGGTGCTGAGATCCTGGGCTCGGATCCTGCCTCCTCCACCCTCAGATGTCCAGCCACTTAATCCCGCCTTAGTCTCAGTCTCCTCATCAGTAAAATCAAGGAATTGGTGCAGGTGGTTGCCGAGGTCTGGATGTCTTTGTTCCGTATGTAGTTGGGAGCCCCGGAAGGTTTTGGGCAGGGAGTGGAATGATCAGAGCTGTGCGTTGGGGAGGTTAATCGGGCTTCTGGTGCTTTGTGATCCTGCTGTAGGGCTGGAAGTAACGTGGGGGTGACACTTTGAAATTCAGCAGCAGGTGAATTAGCTGTGCTCTGAGCTGTAGCTCTTTGCAACTCCCTCATGCTGTTTCTGGGTCTGGTGGCAGCTTCTGCTCCCCTGCCGCTGCCTCCTCCTGCCCGCACGTTCCCTGGTACCATTGCTGGCTTCTCTGCACACCCCGTGGGCACAGCAGGCACAAGGATAATGAGGCTGTTTGGGCGGGCTTCTGGTGCTGAGGAGACACAGAGCACCCATGCGTCATGGGGATCACAGTGGCCCAGACATGAGGCTGGCATTTGAAGCGTGCAGGCTCGGGGGCTCCCATGTGTTGGTCACACTGTGGGCTGCCTGGCCTCAGACCTCTTCAGCCACTCTTCCCAGTGGTCCTCCCGCCACCCACCCCTGCGGGGACTGCCCCCGCTGCCTTTCTGCTGGCTGTGTGTGGCTTTGGTCTGGCTCGAAGGGGCTTTTGAAATGGGTTTTCCATGAAGGTGATTGAGGAATTGGCAGAAGGCTCACTGTGTTGAACGGAAATGGATTTTAGTTAAAGGTGGCAGCCAGGTAACTCAAACTTTGGGATGACTTTACTGATCCTTGTTTTAGTAGCATGTAGTAGCATGCTTGTCAGATTTACGGAGTACCATTCATTTTACGAGAAAATGTTTCCTAATCCTTGTAAACTTAAATTTGCTTGTTTTGACTTAATCTTAGCGTTTGTCTGTCTCGGTTGGGTTCTTTCAAGCCATTTCAGACTGCTTTAGGCTGTTTCTGTGCTGCAGTTGATCTTCTGGCATGCAGGGTCTCTTCCTGGTTATTGACAGAGTCGGTCGTGTCTGGAGCTGTCTGCCTGGTGATTCATGCTGCCGCCACTGTCCCCTGGTCCACTCTTCATCTCGCGGGCGGCTCCCAGGTCTTTCTGTATGCAGGTCACTGTATTTCATTTGCTTCCTCCTTTACTTTAATGACCTTCTAGATCAGACCATTAAATACCTTCACTAAAGTACACTCTTTTCTTCCATTTATTCATGGTTATTTCCTCAATAAAGTATACATTGACTTCGTAAGACACAGATTTCCTTATGTGTGCTGCTTCTATCAGATGTCATTAAAACTTTTCTAGGCCTGGGCCTTCTGTGCTTGAAAATGCCGTCGCTGTTACCTAAGCCAAGTATTAAAGAATATCTACTTAGCACAGTTATTTTTTCATCTTTAGTATGCAGCATGTAATTCACAGTTACTTTCAGCGAGACTGTAAATTCTCCTTGGCCAGTGCAGCTGACTTTTCTTGAGAGGGAGAAACCTTATTTTTATTTTAACTTTTTGTTGGCTTTTCCATTTTCCTGGGGTAGAAGAAGAATGCTTTAATAAGAAGTGAAAATTGTTTCTGATTATTTATTTCAATTAAAATATGTAGTGAACTCCTGCCAGGTGAGGCACAGGGGACCCGAAGGCTTCTGCTTTAATGGAGAGACAGGTCTGCTGCAGATAATTACGGCAGAGCCAGGAAGGGCGAGGGCTCTTAAGCAATCGTAAGAAGTTCTGTGGTAGCAAGCAAGCAAGCATGCGGTTTACCCCTTGAAAGGGCCTTGCTCACCCAGGCTGGAGTGCAGTGGCTCTTTGAGGCTCAATTACAGCCTCAAACTCCTGGGCTCAAGTGATCCTCAGCCTCCCAGTGGACTTTGTAGATAGCCTGTGGAGTCTCATGGCACAGGAAGATTAAACAATGTCTCCAATTTCATTCATTCATTCATTTGTTCATTTATGAGATGGAGTCTCCCTCTGTCACCAGGCTGGAGTGCAGAGGCACAATCTTGGCTCACCGCAACCTCCGACTCCCTGGTTCAAATGATTCTCCTGCCTCAGCCTCCTGAACAGCTGGGATTACAGGCATGCACCACCATGCCCAGCTAATTTTTGCATTTTTACTAGAGATGGGGTTTCACCATGTTGGCCAGGATGGTCTCAATCCCTTGACCTTGTGATCCACCTACCTTGGCCTCCCAAAGTGCTGGGATTACAGGTGTGAGCTACTGCGCCCAGCCACAGTGTTTCCAATTTTAATAAATTTCTGCAATCTATCTGGGGAAAAAAAAAGTTCTGTGGAAACACAGATGAATAAGTAATGAATTCTGCTGGGGATATGGCTAGGGGTGGGAGCAGGTGGGCCTTCACGGGCCAGAATAGCTGCAGAGAAGGTATCATGTCTGTGCTGGGCACTGGAGACTGAGCCACCTCCTTGACCCAGGACTGGGGCAGGGTGTTCCACGAAGGTGGGGGCACCTTACGGGCAAGAAATCAGATCTACAGATGCAGACGGTATCTGAGAAGGTGGCGTGGATTGGACACCGTGATCTTAGGAGGAGGACGCAGGAGGCTGAGCCCTGGTGCTCCTTCCAGGAGCGTTGGTGGGGACCAGAAAGCTGGTGCTGGTTTCCACCTTCCCGTAGCACTTGCTTAGTCAGTGCATACCCGGGCTCCTTTCACACATGGGCTGGCGTGGCAGGGGCGCCAGCCTTCGCTTCTTAGAGAATATTTACTTCTGTTCATCTTTGCTACTCTTAAATATAATTTAAAATTACAGATGTTTAGTGTTTGAAATTTAGCAACTACTGAGAGTAATAAGAAAATAATAGCATCTAACTTTTTTGTTTTGGAGATGGAGTCTTGCTCTGTTGCCCAGGCTAGAGGGCAGTGGCTCTGTCTCGGCTCACTGCAACCTCTGCCTCCCGGGTTCAAGCAATGCTTCTGCCTCAGCCTCCCGAGTAGCTGGGACTACAGGAGCATGCCACCACGCCCTGCTCATTTTCATGTTTTTAGTAGAGACGGGGTTTCTACTAAAAAGAGTTCAAGACCGTATTTGCCAGGCCGGTCTCGAACTCCGGACCTCTTGATTCGCCCACTTCGGCCTCCCAAAGTGCTGGGATTATAGGTGTGAGTCACCATGCCCGACTGCATCTAATGTATTTTAATGCTTGCCATGTGCTAGGTGTGTGGTGTGGAGTCCTTGATATGCATTTTCTTGATCATTTCTCACAGTAGCCTGCTGAAGTGGACACTGTTTTTATTCAGGTTTGACAGATGAGGAAACTGAGGCTTGAAGGGGTTAAAAAACAAGCCCAAAGTTCTGAGATTTTGGCATTACAGAGCCAGGACTCAAACTTGGGGATGTGTGAGGCCACTGGGCACAGTGTCTTCTGCCTGCTGTGCAACCTCCCAAGACCAGTCTCAGGAAGAAGTATAAAAACCCATGTAAACTGCCACCCTGGTTTCCCCAGGATGTTAGAAAAGCTTATCTTCTTTGTCTTTTTGGGAGGCTTGTGTGTGTGTGTTTTCCTTTTTACATAGACTTGAGATCAAGCAGTGTGTCTAATTATATATCTATTTTTACTTATTTTTAATTATTTTTGAGATGGAGCCTTGCTCTGTTGCCCAGCCTGGAGTGCAGTGATGAGATCGTGGCTCACCGCAACCTCTGCCTCCCAGGTCCAAGCAATTCTCCTCCCTCAGCCTCCTGAGTAGCTGGGATTACAGTTGCCCACCACCATACCTGGCTAATTTTTTTTGTATTTTTAGTAGAGATGGGGTTTTACCACATTGGCCAGGCTGATCTTGAACCCATGACCTCAAGTGATCCACCCACCTTGGCCTCCCAAGTGGTGGGATTACAGATGTAAGCCACCAAGTGCAGCCTGTTTTTACTTACTTTACATAATGTATTTTCCCATGACACTAATTTTCTTTGAAAATATGATTGTTAATGGCTTTGTAATATTCATTAAAATACATTCATTTCTTCAGTTTGCTTGTAGGTGAAACGTTTCTGAAGACATTCTATTTAATGGGTGTTTAAGTTGTGTCCAGTTTTGCTTTTGATGCTGTTTTTTATTTATTATAATTGCTAACCTGTGAGGCACACCCCTGACACATAACTCTTGACCACCTTCCTTGCATGATTCCACGGCAGGAGCCCTGGGGCGAGGACTCGGTGTTAAACGGAGCTGCGCGGCGGTCCCTTGTTGTCTTGTCGCCCCTGCGGTTCCCTGCTGGCCCCGTGCAGTTTGATGGCCGCTGTTGACTTGATTACTCTTTGCCCTTCTTTTCCTCTGTATCCGTGTTTTTGAATTGAAGTGCCCCTGGGCACACAGTCATTTATTTGGACCTTCGGATGCTGTCTCGCTCAGAGCACGCAATCCTGCTTCCCCCGTGTTTGATTTGCCAAGGTTTTTCTGCTTCAGACTTTCTAGATGCTTTAGAGGTCGGTGGGCAGTTCTAACAAGACTGGCCATTTCTCTTTGTAATGTATTCACTTGTTTGCTCTCTCATGAATTCAGTCATTTGCTCATTGATTTGTTCGCTCATTTACTCGGAAAACATTTCTTAAGCTGCCTGGTGCTGGGCAGTGAGGATACAAAGATGTATTTGTGAGTCATACTCCCTGCCCTGTAGGGATCTCATCCATGCTGAGAGATCCAGCACAACAGGAGAATTCCAGCTTTGTGGAGAGAAGGAAGGGCCTCTGTGGATGAGGCTTGTTTGGTGGGTGGGAGGGTGGAAGATGAAGGGAGAGGGTGTTGCATGGAGGGGAGGCCTGCTGGTGGGTCGGGGGCGAGTGGAGAGAATCGGCTGGAGCCCGTGGGGTGTGCTCCAGTGTACGCCGTGGGTTGGCCGGTCCAGCTGCAGCCGAGGGGAGGGCTCTGGGGAAGGTGAAGCAGATTGGATTTTCTCCTGCAGGTGGTGTCATCACCCTGCTTACCGTTCTTTAACAATCATGCTCTTGCTTTCGGGATTGGGACCGAGGCCTCTGGCCCTCTGAACCTGCTGTGGGCCTCCTGCTGCTGCCGCCTGCTTGCTGTGTGACAGCACAGCGGCTCCTCCTCTGTCCCTGTACCTCCCCACTGGGAAGCAGTCTGTGGCCGCTGTGCCTCGTTCCTGCACACTTTGGTTTGGAGGGTATCTCAGGGGAGGGATTTGGGCTTGGCGCTGGGCCTGGCTCAGGGCCATGCTTTGTCATTACTTGGTAAACTGAAGAGTAAAGCTTGCCTGGAGTTGTATTTCGTCTTTCCCTTATCTCAGCCAAAAACTGTCGTTTTCAAGAAATTTACTGCCGTCCTCTAAGCGCTGAATGAAGTTATTCTTTCTAATAAGATTAGGTAAATTCTGTGGAGGACTTGAAGGAGAATCAGTCCCATTAGCAGTCAACCAAAGAGCAGCACCATCTCCACAACAGGGGATTTTACTGGGGCACGTTGTGTGTGAGGCTCTCTGCTTTAGGCAGTAGCATGAAGTGGGGGACAGTTAGTACTCAGGGAAGTTAGCAAAGTGGTAGATGACAGGATGAGGTCATGTTCTTTTTTTTTTTTTCTCCCTAGAGCTTTTGAAAGCATTTTGATGCTTATACATATTATCAACCCCCATGACCAAAATAAG